GTATTTTTACCAAAATATATAAACCACCATATAAAGCTTTTCAGTAAAAATCATTCTGTATTCCAACCTTCAACAGACACTGGCAGACACTGGCGATGAGCATTCAGAATGTATCGCTAACATTTACAAAGCTTTCTTCACAAGAAAGTAGTACTACATTTCCCAGATGAACCTACTAAAATGACAACAACTCTCTATAATAAAGGTGCAAAATATTGCTTTGTAGCATATTTTGAAAGTAATATAAAAATAATCTCTATATTATAATTTAAACTTGGCTTGGAAAATTGCAACATAATACAGTCATTTATGTCTAGAAACAGAGTGCACTTACAAACACCTTTCTTTATGGGTGTGGGTGTATATCAGGCATCCCCAACCTTTGGCCCTCCAGATGTTTTGGACTACAATTCCCATCATCCCTGACCACTGGTCCTGCTAGCTAGGGATCATGGGAGTTGTAGGCCAAAACATCTGGAGGGCCGAAGGTTGGGGATGCCTGGTGTGTGTGTGTGTGTACTATTGTTTTCTTTGTTTAAAAAACAAGCATGTCCATAAAAAAGCAAATGTGCCAACAAGTTACTAAAGTCAGTTAAACTCTACACCATGTTTTATTGGGCAGTAATTCTACAAAGTTTGCCATACTCTCAAATAAAAAGTCCTTATTTTGCAGAGTATGCTACAAAAAAACTGAATGTGTTCTGAGCTGAAAAGCCACTTGCAATCAAGGCCAGCTAATATTTTTCCATTGTAGTTCTGCCATCACAATAATGTCTACTTTTCCATACAAGGGAAAGGAAGTAATCCCTGGCTCCCCACTATAATCAATTATTTCATGATACAATTTACAACATTTCAATACATCACATTCTCAATTTCTGGAACTAGAAATGTATTAATTCTTTTGGACTGGGAAGAGAACGTAATCAACACCTATTGACAAAATGCAAGGCTCCCATCTGTCTTAAATGAGTGCTCCCATGAGTGAATAACTTTGTTCCTGGGACAAATTGTACCATTAAAGGGCCTTCCATTCTTAACATGAGCTCTTCACCATTTACTACATGTGCAACAGCTTGTCATTATTCCAGTCCAATGGTCAACATAATGGGGCAATGCCATTACAAGTGTGATAAAGAAGTTAAAAACATTGGGCTGCTTACCATAAAATGACAGGGAAAGCAGCCAAGACAATCATTAAAAACAAAAGATACAGCCTTCTAGTGCCATTGTTATGATGATTCTTACCTGTCAATATAAATTTGCTTAACTTTATACGTATGTTCACTCTAAAGAGGACTGTATGTACTCTGTGCTGAAAGGGCTGAAAATCTGCATTCATGCAATTTCAGTTCTGCATCCAGAAAATCTGAATTCTCCTTCTATAAATTATGCAAATTTAACAAATTTCTGTAATTTCTTTTGATTTTGATTTTTTAAACTATTTTGCATAAATATGTCTGGTTTTGCTAGTCACAGTAAGGAGTTTACAGTTACAGAGTTCCTTCTTTGGCTTCTGAGATTTCAGCAGGACTAGCCAACAGAGTTTCAAGCATATTGTTTCAGCAGCCATAAAAAGGGGGTGGGGAGAGATAAAGAAGGTGCTGAGATTCTCAGAAAGCTGAACTCTGTGTTCTGCACAACACTTGCTGCTTTTTCTGCACAAAATTGCAGGAACAGCATTGCCAGCAAAATCACTATGATGCTCTTCACCTGCTTGGTGATAAAACTCCTATTGATCATTCATGCCTTTTTTTTTTCATAAGGAGAGAGGCTGATTTAAATGGTCACCCATATTAAGTTAAGTGCACGAAATACACAGGGTGGGGAGGAAAAGAAAGGGGAAACTAAACACAGCTACTGATCAATTTTTCTACCTCTGACTTTTATGAAACATATGGCTGTGCTTACCAAATATATTGCAATGTAGGAACGGCAAAATGTGTCTGTTTTCATGAGAAGCTGAGTGCAGAACAGGAACTGTTGTTTCCTGCAATCCTAAACACATCTAATCCAAAGTCTCACAGAGCTCAGTGGAGCTTATTCCCAGGTAAGTGTGTAAAGGATTGCAGCCTAAGACACACATTATCTGTGATATATTACACCAGTCCTTCCCCCAAGAACTCCATTTCAGCTGACAAGGGGTGTTTTATTACACATTTTAACTCATGCTGAATTAGATTTGTCTGTTATCTGGATTCCAGGAGCACAATAATACAACTTTGTTTTGCTTTGAAAGAACAGCAATGAGTAACTGATTGGACTTGGGGCAGCGCAGTGGCAGAGAGAGGCTTCTGCTACCAAGTCGAAATGTTTGCTAGCTGTGGCTTAGGACCACCCGCAAAACTTTCCACAGACCTGCTTAGAACCACCTACAACACACAACACAACTTATATGTAAACACAAAGTGTATCATGTTTTATTCAATCATTAGCCCTTTTCTATACTACTTTTTCATGTATTATTACAAAGTATGAGAATGCTTAAATACCATCTTGAAATAACCCTTAGACCCTTTGTTCCATAGACAAAAGAAAAGTCAAACATTTTGCATATTTTCTTTGACAAGTTTTGGATTAGTGGCTTGAACAATTTATACAGCCTTTTACTTTTCCCCCAACACACATTTTTTTCTGATGCCTATTAGCAGAGTAATTATAATTTATTTGAAACCATAAAGCATTTTTTCTTTCATTTATAAAAACATCACTTTACCCCAGAACAGTTAGCAACACTTATTACATTCAACCACTGTTCCATGTTTTGTACTTCTCAAATACCAAACAAAGGCCCATTGGCAGACTCCATATGCACAAGCCCAAGGAAATGAAAAGTTCCAGTGAAAGAGAACTGTTCAATTCAACAACGCTTGTGCAGGAGAACTTCCCAGAGAACTGTGTCATATTTCGCAAAAGAAGCTCTGACACAAGCCTCAAATTCCCATCTCAACAATCAAATTTTGTCTTTGCACAGCCCAGCCTTCCTGACTTGGAATTAACTGCCCACAAACCCTTAGCCCTTTATATACTGAATTGTCTACAATATCCACTTGTTACCCACCAAGTGACCAACCCACAACCCAAGAAAATGCTGAGCTGGATGAAACAGCAGTCATGTTTATATATATATAGATTGAGAGAGAGAAAGAGAGAGAACAAGAGGAGACAGGGAGTTCACGCAAAACACGTTTTGGTCTTAAAAAATAAATAAATTCTGGAACAACAAGTTTCATAAACATTTAATTTCCAGATTCAGGTAGGTAGCTATGTTGGTCTGACACAGTCGAAATATATAAGAAAATTAAAAAAACTGTCTAGTAGCACCTTAGAGATGAAAGCACACAAAAGCTTATACCAAGAACAAACTTAGTTGGTCTCTAAGGTGCTACTGGACATTTTTTTTATTTTCTTATATATTTTGACTTAATTTCCAGTGAGAAGGACCTTTTAAATTGTATAGTTTTTATGGAGGCTTCATTCAAACACTTGCCTCTTTTTCAGAAAAGGCAGACAGGAACAAAATCCTAAAAACACCGAGGGTGAGGTCATTCATAATTGCCAACTACTTTTTGTGGGATGTAATCCACTGGGAGCAGTCAAATACACAATTCAGTCAAAAACTGTACAACACATACAGCAAGGGAATGTTTGGTCCAGCCAGTCAAAACTTCCTCTTCCTCCTGGCCTGGAGCATCTTCCTTGCATGTGACTAGTGGGTGGGCGGGACCTTTCCAGACCTGGTCAAAGGTCAAGGCATGCTGTCACTCTCCCTCTTTTCCATCTTCCTTTCGTCCTGCAAACTTCCCGGACTGCTAACTGCAGTCACTAGGTCAACCCACATATGGGGTAAACCTGTTTGTATATGCTTGTGACTTTAAGCCTAAAGTCTGTCTTCAGGGACCACACTGTGCTCTGCCTGATCATGAGTAAACTCTCTTTTTATTGCTTACGAATAAGACTATGGTGTCTTTATTCTTTCAGGAGAGATTCAAGGGGTCTTACCAGGAAAATATTAGAAGACATTTCAATCTGGACAAGCCAGATGGAATTGCGTATTGTCTTAAGAAACTCACATGAGTTTGCAACTAGTTTTCTGCTGTGTAAAGGGTAATGCACTCTGCTAAATAAAGGAACTAGCTAGCGCAAGTTAGGAAGGATATTAATAAACACTATATCCTCTCCTGCCACCTTGAACATTCCCACACTTTTTGCTTGGAATGATCATTATACACTTTGAGCATGGAATGCAAGGATCACCCCACAGACCATGTCCTCTTTGTTACCTTGGTTCCCATTTTGTGGTGGTTTAGATAGAATCACAGCAATTTGAATGTGCTAACTCATCCTGGGTTATGTCTGTTTTCATGGACTCAGACAGAAGGAACCAAGAACTGCACAATTTGAACTGGAGATCTAGCCCAGTGAGATACCAATGATTGTTTGTACACTGCTCTTTAGTTAAAGTTAAATTCAGGCACAGAGAGGAATAGAGGTATTGACATTGACACCTGAGCTTCAGTGTCAGCACGAACCCTCTGGTACATACCAGGCCTGTTATAAACACTCAGTGCTTGATCCTCTGCCCTTTCCTGGTCAAAGAAGCAGTAATAATGTTAATATCTTTTGACTCTCCACTAAGAGTCCAGCTCTGGCTCTAGCCAAACTGATCTCCAGAACTCTAGAGGGTCCTCATTCCAGGTCTACTTGGCACTGGTCTCACCCCTAACTTCTGCAGATGAAATTTTAGGGGTGGAAAGCGGCACTCAGAGCTAAGATTTTTCTGAGATGCTCTGCTATATAATTAGATTCTTACACAGAGTAAGGTGCTACCCTAAGTAAATAATGTTTAGTGAATTATTTCTAAGAGTAGGGTGTAAACAAGGATCAGATTAGCGCAAGGGTGCCAGAAAATAGTTCTTGGAGGTGGGGTATTGATTTGAGCAACTCATGAGAGCATTTCTATCATCTGGGCAAAACTTATTTTCATTCAGTTCTGTGTATTTTTTTAAAAAATTATAGTACCATGTGAATATATGAAATTATTGTGTCCACTAAAATGTATTTTCCTGATGATGACTATTTTTAAAAAAATTATAAAACTTTGTGAAGTTTTTTTAAAAAGCTTTTTGTTCAGATAGTATACTTGAATCAAAATGGAAAAGCATAAATTGTTAGCAGCAAGTGGTTCATGCCTACCTCCACCTAGAGAAGCATTTATAGGCATTCCAAAGGCTAGTTCTACAGTAATGCATTAGTAATCACTAATAATTTCTTTCTTAAACTTTTAAAATATCACCCCTGCTCTTCTCTCTCTCTCTCTCTCTCTCTCTCTCTCTCTCTCACACACACACACACACACAAATACAATCAAAGATAAGTCCATCTGGTACCACAGATTTCTTTGGCCAAAGAAACAGGAGGATTTTTCACAATTAACTAAAAACATAAAAAGGCATACAGTATTGGACAAAATTGGAACATCTGAGATTCTTATGAGTGAACCACACCAAAGGTTACTTGTGTTCTAATCCACACAGCAGCCATCAAACCACATCTGTTTTGCACCTTAATTCTAAGTTGGAAGCACAGAACAGGCAAGGGAAGAAGAGGCCCTTAGGAAGGTGCCCTTTCCCCCTGCTTTGAAATAAATGGCAAAGCTGGACAAGAACACTGCAGAGTCAGCCGGCACTAATGACACAGCTGATCCTCTTTCTTGAGTAGACCTCCCATAAAAGAATGGGGACCAGCTTGGCAGCACCACCACTGTAACATCTTGCAGTGTGACTGCACCCTTAAGTGTGGTGACACATCTTCCTCTGGGGGAAAAGGAGATACCAATTCAGATACACTACACATTCTCAGAGATACATGAACTACAAGGCTGGATTCATTAAGAGCTGTTCTTAAGTAATATTGGTGTGCCTCCCCGCCCCACCAAACTTAAAATTTATTATTAATTAAAACTAAGTATCACTTCTTACTTCATTTTGTACTGAATTATAGGATCAATTACTGATTGCTACCACAAAGTACTTCACAAACAGGCGTTTTAATGTGGGTGCAAGTGGTGAACAGACCGGAGTCTCAAGTACTTTCTATTCGAGGATGCAGAAACCAAGTTCACTACGTAAACTGAGATGTGGCTATGAGTGAATATTTTCTTAGCTTACCTAAAAATATTAGAGCTAAAGAGAAGAACCAAAAATATAGGCCGTTCCTAGTGATAAACTTTCCTAATAAAAGAGGGTCACTTTGAGGGCTTAGAGCGGTGCCATTAGGTTAATGACACCAATGTAGTTCTTCTTCCCTTTTCATTAGATGTGACAGGAGCCTCAGTAATGGGATGGATGAGTAAACTGAAATTTAATTCAGATCATACAAAGGCAACAATGCTGACTAGGGGAGCCAGCCAACACTGGGATTGCTCTATAGTCGGGGTATATTGGTTCTTAATGGCACTGTACTCTACTCTCACAGCTTAAATGTGCTCTTGAATCTTGCACTGAGAGCAGACTTTCATGCAGAGTATACACCGGAGGGCTGTAATAAATTATGAAGTATGCTATTTGGTGGTTTGATAGAAACAAAATAGATAGAAGGCAAACATGTTTATATCAATGCCAACTGAAGCCCTACTGTAGACACCAGTGTTACATTCAGCTCTTATCTAAAACGTCTGAAGGGCACCAGGCGTAGAGGTTATCTAAATTATTCTGTCTAGTTTTGAACTATTACAATCTTTGCTTCATTTTTGTCTTTGCAATGGTGTTTAGATTTCATCTTCTGCACTGTCTAGTACTCATCTCAGAGGGCCAAATTTGAGAGCAGACTTTAAACACAAATCCATGAGCTGTCCTTGTAAGTGTTTAAGACCATTTTGCCCATGTCCAATTGACGCACGACTGCTGATGTTTCGTTTTCAGCTGATGTGCGCAATGACCCGGAATACAACTCCTGCGCAAACAGGGAGTTGCCTGCAACACATGTGCAAATTAACAGTAACAATTTTTGTCTTCTCTGCAAAGAGGTAGCAAATCTACATTGTGCTATATGAATAATAAAAATATGAAGTCTTGCATATGCCAGTATTTTAATTCTTTATTTCTTGGGAATTAATAGCTAAATAATGTGGTTCCAATAAGCAGTGTTGATAAACTGGTCAAAACGACCAAGGAAAGGATATGATCAGTGAGATACAGGGCACTTGGCTATGTGGTTGCACTGAATGAGGTGTAAGACAGGACTGCAAAGCTACTGAGGCACTTGTTTGGTCATCCAATTGCCCAACTGTTGAATTGTAAAGTACTTATTTTCAACCATGAGGGCTTGAGCCCTGTCTAAAAATAAAATAGATATGTCATCTGGAGGATAAGCATTTCATTCTTGGACATTTTGTGCAGTACAAAACTGGAGTTGCTTACATCAATTTGTGTTTTGTAAGAGAAGCTTGCTAATGAATCCAGGCTTTCATTTGTGTATCTGTGGAGAAAACAGGACTACTAAAATAATACAAGCAAGGATGTTAGCATGTTAGTATGAACTATATGCAAATTACTATTCTTCCCCCAATTTTTAAAGGAAGAGGAAAGAGCTATGAAAAAGTTATATTTATTCAGATGAGATGGCTCTAAAGCATGAAACAGACACATCTTATTACAATACCACATTTCCAGTTATTATGACTTTTTCCCTATCTTCCTACTACCTGAGTGATGTCAGTGTAAATTCAGGCACCATTAGTAAATTTTGACCAAACGTATACACAGCACTGACAAAGGAGTAAAGAACCTTTCAGCTTACCAGTGTATGTAAAAAAGACACTGACAAAATGGAAAATAATAAACTCTTTATGATAAATTAATTCTTAGTTTTTCATTGCTGCAGGGGAAAAACAAATAAGCTGGACCTTTCTCCCCACAGATCCCTCTGCAGGATTCTCTTTTCCTTCCTCCTGTAATCCATTGCCACATACCTTACAAGTAAGAAAATGGAGGAAATAAATATTCATGGGAAGAGCTCCATCACCTTCAATGTCGGTGCCCCTTACTTTCTTGCTCCCTGCGTTTCAGCTCCTCCTTATAGCAGTAGGAACAATAGTTTTCAGTCTCGGGGCGACCATAAAAAGAGCAGTTCTCCTTCTTGCAGCGGTTCTGCTGGATTGAATATATCGGGCTAACTGTGCTCCTGCCTCGATTTTTGTCATTGTTCAACCAGGTCTGCGGTGCATCCTCATCGGCATATTCCAAGCAGTCTCTGATGTCACTGGTATTAAACCCATTGGTATATGTTTGTGACTTGTGGTCCGTAGGCATAACATAGGTCAGTGACTCCACTGTGTTGACAGTACGGATGCCTGCTATTCGGGCTGGGCTATAGCTCTGTGAAGACAATGACCGGTTCTGTTGGGGATATGTGGCACATGTTTTTAAAGTGCCAACCACCGGTTTGTAGGTATCATCCTGGAAGCTTGATGGCTTGGAGTTGACATCGTGCAAGTGGATGACACTTTGCCTCTGAACAGGGGGTGTATGGCTATAGTGGGCAGACAATGGAATGGGTCCACTTTTCTTGGCACCATTGCTAGGTGACGAAAATGACCCTGGTGTGGGACTAGTACGGTCTTTAAACTTTAAAACCAGTTGAGTCGTATGGCTTTGAGGCAAGACTGGTGATGCCCTTCCCTGAGGAGATGCTTCCAACTTCTCTTTTGAGTACATTTCTTGCTCCAGTTTCCTGCATGATGATCCATTGAGAGTAGCCTTCTTCTCTGCCTCTTTCCTCTTCTGTTCCTGTTCAGCACTAAAGCGCTCCTGGGCACTGGTCAAGTAATAGCCAATCATCTCCTCATGGAACTGATGTCTATGGCTGGTCAAGAGGAGGCCAGCAAAGATGAACTTCCGTTCCCCTTGCATGGCAGCTCTCAAGATATTGAGGCTCAGCTTCACATCAGTACTGTACTTCCATGGGTCTGACTGTTTATCTGAAGGAGATTTAGAATTCATTTTTTCAACAGGCGAAATGCTTGTCTTTTCAGTGGGAGAGGGGGTTGTCTTTTCAGATGGAGAAGTGCTTGCAGACTGGCCAGACTCTTCTTTGCTTCCTTTGCGTGATTTGGACTTCTTCTCTTTGACTTTCTCAATGATCTCCCCATTTTTCCCATTTCCTGAATTTGCTCTGCTCATTTTGCCATGCACTAGTCCCCCAAGCCCACCCATATTCTTCTTGAGCTTGATGCCTAGAGTTTTACTGAGACTCCCAAGTTTGTTTGCAACTGAATCAGCCCTGTTTTTTTCTTTATCCTTCCTTTGCTTTTCTTTCTCTTTCCCATTTTTCCCATTATTGCCATTAGAATTGCTGCAGATGGAATCCCTGTCGGAGTCCATGGAATCAGCGAGAGACTGGACATCCTCTCCTGCTGACGCAGTGGGAGATTCTGGCTGAGCCAGAGGAGCCTATGAAGAGAAGTAAGTTAACAATTAGAAATTACACAATGATTTCCTGCAGTAAGATCCTCTCTACATTTGAATGCAGTTTTTCAGGATATTTAGCATTTGAAAAATGCAAGTCTTCAAAAGAATGGTTCTGCACATAAGGTCATTACACTAAGGGGTCACAATTACATTAACAGATGGTTAATCTTTGGAAGAAACTTCCTAGATCCAGGTTTATAATAGCTTGTCAGATTTCTCTGACTGTCCTTTTGGAAAGTCATTCTCTTGAAACTTCAGATGTTTGCTGTGAATTCCACAGCATATTCAAGATGGTAAAAGCCAAATCTGAAAACAGTGCATCTTTTTATATGCTTTTCTATATCTGAAACATCAGGAACCATTGCAATATGATGTTAGATAGAATGGATATGCTCTTCATTACACACACACAATCTTTATTACGGTCCAGAGACCAACAAAACATTACAAATCAATACAGAGTTCGTACAGCCTACCTCCAGGTTAATCAAGCACTTTGTTTGGAATATAGGGCTCATTTGTTCTTGCTACCACCGATAAAAACTTTGCCACTGCCAACGTTCTAGCTTTTGTCCGGTCTTCCAGTAGGAACCTGACATACTGAGCCTCTGACTTTCCCGGGAAAGGCACCAGCAAGGGTAGTATCAGTTCAGCCCTGGCCTGCTCATACTTCGCACAATGTAACAAAATATGATCTATGGAATCGATGTCTTGGGCACACGAGCAAAGTCTGTCCTGGTAGGGAACTCCTCTCAACCTACCATCCAGCACTGCAGAGGGGAAGACATTCAGTCTGGCTTTGGTGAAAAGCCTTCGATAGTTAGGTACTGTCAGGTTTTTGATGTAAGATGTTAACTCAAAGACATACCCATATTGAATTCCTGCTGCCAGTGGACTACAGACTGCTGGTGACCGAGATCTCAAGTCACTGTGTGCATTGTCCCATAATCTTTGCTTTAAAACCTTTTGGGCGCCTTCATAGCCCAGGTAATACAGTTGGGGGGGAGACAGACCAATAGAGGTGGCTTTTTTAGCCATGGTTTTCTGCCATTTGCTGACAAATTCCTCATTCGTCAAATGTTGGTACAGACCCTTCCCTAGATTAAACACTGAAATCCTGAGCCAATGTCTTAGGGCAGCCCACCACGCTCTAGCTGAAATTGGGCATTCACCAGCTTCCAACAGAAGTACGGAGTTGGGGACGCAATTAGGTACCTGCAGCAGAGATCGTATAAATTTTGCCTGAAAGCCATCTAGCTTTGGCAGGTCCCCATTATGCCAGACATATGCCAGACACTACAAGTTTTCTGATTTTTAAGTTGATGGGTGATGGGTTAGGAGGGAATTTCTCTCCTCAAATAGATCAGCTAGTATTCCTGGAATTTTTTATGCAGCATGCTTGGTTCTCTTGCTCAACATATCTGAAATAATCTGGTCTGTTGTTTCTTGTTTACTCCTGCTCAGTGCTCATGGGACACTGTTTTGGATTATATGGAGGACAGCAATAGTAAAGTTCAGTCCTGATGACCATTCTGTGTGGAAAGGCTACGTTGTAGGAGACATTCCAGTACAAATGGCATCAGAGATGCAAAATGAAAGATAACACAAATACAGAAGCCAATCTCCGGGTATTTAGCAAGGGATTTTTTAAAAAAATTATTAGGACGGCAATATTTGATCTGGGATTAAAAAGCAAATTGTGCAATAATTCAATTATCAATGCCGTTCACATTTATACCTGAAAATATAGGATGTGGTGCAAGTAATTTTCAGTGTAACTATAGAAGTACATTTCAAAACATTCATTTCCAAGACTCCTAAACAGATATCCTCCTATCTCAAAGAAATTGAGATTGTTTTTACTTGCCTAATTCTGCTCACCTACTCTTCTGGGGCAAGAAAATTAGTTAATGCTAGGCAAAAAAAGTATCAACATTTTTTCAGATTACCATCCATCCCTATATAAGAAAAAGGGCAGTTGAGTAAAAGATTGTGCTTGCCATGGTATATTTTAAGAAAATACGAAGTGGAAGCAACTTGCAGATCATCTTGACCTAATGAACAACTAGGCAACCCTATGAAATTAATCTTGCAAATTATTCACAACGGGCAATGATTGAAAACCAGTTCACCTGACCATATTTCTCATTGGATGATGTGTGTGATTTCTTGACAATTTCATTAGTCTGAAAAGGCTAATATAGAAATGGCAAGAGAGCCTTCCTATCATGTAAAATAAAAAGTACTACTACCATAATTACCAGAAGCTAAACTGAGACATGATAACCTTTATGGAAATTGGTCCTGGACATTGAATTAACACATAAATTTTCAAGCACATGCCAACTCATGATTGGCTGGAGCATGACTGAGCAATAATAACTTCCTTCTTTATGAAAAAACTAGTGTTGGAGCAGTTTCTGAGAGGCATGATTAACAAGTATGATAAGTGGGATATTTCAGAGAACATATTCAGTTCCCCAAAGCTCCCTGTTGTGCACATGAAAATTTGGCTGAACTCTTAATTTGCTTACCGCTGACTGACAACCTTGGGGATCAACTTTGCAGTCTCACATTTGACAGTCCCTATATTTTTGTCAAACCACTAGAACGCTCTGATATTTGGACCTGAGAATCCACACACTCAAATGCACAAATGCAAGGAGCAGAACAAAGTCTGCTTTTCAGCCTTTCCCCCAGACAATGGATAGAAAGGCTGGTCAATTACTCTTTGGTTTTGACCATCTCATATGCCGTGACAGAGGGCAGAATTTACAACCAAAAGCAGCAGGAAGGACAGCTGCTTTACTTGCATCTTTTTGCCTTTCTAGTCTATGCACAGTACAGTCTATTACTACAACTACTACTACTACAACAACAGCAATTTATATGCCACCCTTTATCAAAAGATCTTAGGATGGTGTACAACATTAGAAATACATGACAAAACATCAGTGATAAAAACATAGCAACAGTCTAATCCATTGCTGCTACAGTCACAGTAGTGCATAGCCATTTTTTTGTGTCAGAAAGTGCTGCATTCATTCTAGGGAGGCAGGGACCTGGACCTTGCCTCTCCCTGCCCCTGCCTCCCAAAGGAGCTTCCCTGAACCGCTAGCCCAACACAGCAAGGATGCAATGGATTCTGCTGCGCTAGTGATGGGAGCCTAAGCCAGGATCATCTGTTTCATGAGATGACACAGTTGGGGCCTGTTTCTCTCAAGCTACTTATGGAGAATAAAAGGGTTACCCGTGTTTCCGATGGTATGCGTATCCAGGTTACATTCATGTAACTGTGCAGAAGATTAAGCTTTGCCTCCAGAGACAGAATCAAACTAAGAAAGGAAAAAGAGGAAAGACCACATACCATATAATCACTGAAAATTTACAGCCATATAATCACACTTAATCAACAGAAACAGAAAAAAACATCAGGTTTAACAAGAGTACTTTCAGTTACAGATCCCCACGCTCTCTTAAGGAAATAAGCTAGGGGGAAAAGAAATAGTCCTACACTGGGCTTGCTATGGGAAATTTGAAGCCTCACATTGGTCTTGCCAGACTGGGGCAACCAACTGGCATTGTGTAGATGGCAAAACTCCACACCCAGCTAGTGAACTATGCAAGAGATGTATGTGGCTCAAAAACTATATAGTTATTTGTTCTAAAACCTGATTTTAAAAGGGCAGGCTAATCAAAGGTTACCAAGCATTTTAGGCACACAGATGTCCACAAGTATTGAAGTGTTAATTATTTAAAAGAGATCTTACTTGGCCAGCTTGGAGTTATCATTGTCATCCTTCCCCCACTCCCAATCTTTCCCAGGATCAACCGCAAAGTGCAAAGGTAGTAACTTGTGTTCAGAATCAGTCAGAGGGATCACCGCTGAAGGAAAGAGGAAAAGATCAGAAGTGAAGAAATTAGGTGGGAAAAGGATGAGAAACAACAGTTGGCTGAAGAAAAGGGGGAAAGAATTTTAGAAGCATTTGTTCAAGACACTGTGTTAAATATATAGCATGTTGGCATTTTTCATAAGAAATTGCTTATTTTGCAAACAGTGACACCTTTGTATATCATGTGATTTTTTTCATGATAAAGAAAAATAGTCATCAGCTCTCAGAGATGGCAATTAGGATATTTCTCTGGGTGTGTGTTCTTCAGTTTAATAATATGAGATAACCATAGCCTCTTTCGTAGATCTCAGACTGACCACATCTCTAGCCAAAGCATTTGACAAAATGAACACAAATCTTTTCTTTTCTTTTGGTTTGGTGGACAGGGTTAAAGCAAATGTTTTGAAAGCTGAAATTATACGCTTCTGCTTTCACTTTCATTTACAATATACTGTCATTCACCTGCAACCTCCAAGGAAAGTGGAATATAACCCCAAATAATTAGTAGGCTATTGACTCCAGATTTTACTGAGTCATAATACCAGTCTCTGAACACTAAATCTTAGTTGCTGTGACCATCCTGGTCATTTCAACCAAAAAGGAAAATAGAAGTGTTCTATGCAACCTGTGCAGAATATGCATAGGTACACTGTTAAAATAAAGTGATAAGCAAGTTATACATCTATACCTTGAAGTGCAGACCTCCACAAATCAATTTCTAATATTACATTGCCGATCAGACTTTACAGTCCACCACATTGTCTTTGATGAATGTTCTTCTCAGTTTTCAGGCTGCAACCACAAATCTAGCAAAATTATCCCACGTTGATGGCCTCTCAGCTGATTCCCTCGTGGCCCACTGGAATGCGGAGTTAACCAGGGCTATTGATTGTCTGGCTCCGAAGCGCCGATTGCATGGAGCCCAGACAGCCCCGTGGTTTTCCCTAGAGCTAAGGGCGATGAAACAATCGCTGAGATGGCTAGAGGTGGTGGAAAACTCATTCTGAATCTGACGGGACAAGGGTTAGAGCTCAACATCGAGCCTACCAAGTAGCGAAAGTGACGGCAAAGAGGACCTTCTTCACTGCCTCTATTGGATCGGCAGAAAACAGCAGCAGGAGACTCTTTCAGGTGGTTCCCAATTTAACGGAACCACTTGTGTCATCGGGGCTTGGCAAGCGCCCCAAGATCTCCTGCAATGATTTTGTAAAGCTTTTTTGCAGATAAAGTCGCTCAGATTCGGAAAGAGGTAGACACCACCATGGGAGTAGGACCAAGGCAGGAGAGTGCCAGAGTCCTATCTAGTCAAGTTGCGTGGGATCAGTTCGAATCTGTTACCTCCGAGGATGTGGACAGGCTGCTTGGACGAGTCAAACTGTCCACCTGACTCCTTGATTCTTGCCCATCCTGGCTAATAAAAGCAAGCCGGGAAGGGCTGGGCAATGGGCTCCGCAGGGTGGCGAATGTTTCTCTCTGTGAGGGAGCCTTCCCAGACCCACTGAAAGAGGCGGTTATTAAACTGCTTCTTAAAAAAAACATCTTTAGACCCGGCCAGTATGGCCAACTATCACAACAGTCTCAAATCTTCCATTCTTGGGCAAGGTGATTGAGCGGGTGATTGCTGAACAACTTCAGGCATGCCTGGAGGATGCGGACCATTTGGATCCCTTCCAATCGGGATTCAGGCCTCATCATGGGACTGAAACTGCCTTGGTCATGCTGGTTGATGATCTCCGGCGGGCTAGGGATAAAGGTGAGAGCTGTTTCCTAGTTCTGCTGGATCTCTCTGCGGCCTCTAATACCATCGACCATGACATCCTTCTGGACCATCTAGAGGGGCTGGGAGGTGGGGGCGCTGTTATACAGTGGTTCCACTCCTTCCTCCTGGCCCATGTCCAGAAAGTGGTGTTGGGGGATGAGTGTTCAGATCCCTGGGCTCTCACTTGTGGGGTGCCTCAGGGTTCTGTCCTCTCCCCATGCTTTTCAACATCTACTTGAAGCCACTGGGAGAGATCATCAGGAGGTTTGGGCTGGGTGTTCATCAGTATGCGGATGATACCCAGCTCTACCTCTCTTTTAAATCGGAACCAATGAAGGCGGTGAAGGTCCTTTGTGCGTGTCTGGCAGTCAGAGGATGGATGGCGGGCTAACAGATTGAGCTTGAATCCTGACAAGACAGAAGTACTGTTTTGGGGGGACAGGGGGCAGGCAGGTGTGGAGGACTCCGTGGTCCTGAATGGGGTAACTGTGTCCCTGAAGGACCAGGTGCACAGCCTGTGAGTCATTTTGGACTCACAGCTGTCCATAGAGGTGCAGGTCAATTCTGTGTCCAGGGCGGCTGTCTACCAGCTCCATCTGGTAAGCAGGCTGAGACCCTACCTGCCCACGGACTGTCTCGCCAGAGTGGTGCAAGCTCTAGTTATCTCTCGCTTGGACTACTGCAATGCGCTCTTTGTGGGGCTACTTTTGAAGGTGACCCGGAAACTACAACTAATTCAGAATGCGGCAGCTAGACTGATGACCCGTAGTGGCCGCCAAGACCACATAATACTGGTCTTGAAAGACCTACATTGGCTCCCAGTACGTTTCCGAGCACAACTCAAAGTGTTGGTGCTGAGCTTTAAAGCCCTAAACAGCCTCAGCCCAGGAAACCTCAAGGAGCGTCTCCACCCCCATCTTTCTGCCCGGACACTGAGGTCCAGCTCTGAGGGCCTTCTGGCAGTTCCCTCACTGCAAGAAGCGAAGTTACACTGAACCACGCAGAAGGCCTTCTCAGTAGTGGCGCCTGCCCTGTGGAACGCCCTCCCAACAGATGTCAAAGAAATATCAGACTTTTAGAAGACATCTGAAGGCAGCCCTGTTTAGGGAAGCTTTCAATATTGGATGAATTGTATTTTAATATTCTGCTGGAAGCCGCCCAGAGTGCACAAAAAACCTTTAGTTTTTCCTTTATATAGTATGGATCTGCTCCAAAGAACAGTTCTTAAATAGTATGGCTCCACCCAAATAAATGATATCACCAGCAATGTTGCAGTGTACTGGTCTGACTTGAGAGGAAGAATCTCAAAATGTTTCTAAATCTGGATCTGAGAGAAGACAACCTTACACCTGAAAGAACTGTCAAACTCCTGCTTGTGAGAAAAGCAATTAGGCCAGATTCTGGATGGCAGAGCATTCTCAAAACATCGTTATGCATCATCCATGCAAACGCCACCACTTAGCAAGAGGGCAGTGCAGCCAGACTGAAAGAACTAGGTTCATCTTTGGTCCTTGCTCACCCCGGAGTGTTGGCAGCAGGGCTGACAGATCACACAGAAATTGATTACAAACTTCCCTGTTTATTGCAACTGTGGGCTGAAGGAGAATGTTAAACTATAAACTGGCACCACTACATACTTACTGGCAAAACAGAATGATTGCCAAAACATTATTGCAAAAAAGCAGATGTAATTGTAACAGCAATTTGTTCAGCGGAGAAGAGAAACACTGAAAGTGTATTCTTCCTTGTGCTAATTAACATTCAATAAAAACAAGCATTTTGAGACCAGAAATACCACAATTCTTCAAGCCTCAAGTGCTGAAAAATAATATAATGCCCTCTAGCAATTTGTGCCACAATGAAAATGTTATATAAATGTGCAAAGAATGCATTTAATTCAAATTATTTATCTTCATTTTACCTCCCATTTATTTCTGGGAACTGGTATCCCCCTCCCCATTTTTTTAGAATGCATTTTGGGGAAGGAGGTATTTCCCTAACACTGGTGACAGCTATCAACAATATTGAGGCACTTTGCAGAAACTACCACATACATTTTAGAGGTTTTTTGTACAACTGCCTTTAAAAAAAGAATGAAAGACTCAGCTTTCTTATGTGTTCTGTTGCTGCTGTGCTACTTTAAAAGCCACTATAGGTGCTCTTGCTGTGCAAACACTCGGCCATGCACATTTCCAGAATCTTTGGATTTGCAAAACCACAGGCAATGCAGGTCAAAGTAATTCATCAAGGCTATCGGGGGGGGGGGGGGGTTGGTGACAAACTTGGAGGCAAAGACTAAAGTATCTGAATAGCTGTAAATTAGGTATCCTGCTTACTGTAAGACAGCTACAATGAGAGAACATACTAAATGTCAGGGAAAATAATAATGTTTAACACGCGCATACTGCTTTCAAATGTTCAACGCATGTCACATTCATTTTCTGGCTGCAATTCTTACAAGGGAAGTATCCCATATTACAGATGGGGAAACAGGCTGAGAAACAGTGGCTTGCCTAGGGCCCCTCAAGAAGCTCACAGGAGAGTTGAGATTTGACCTAGGAACTTCCTGATTTGCCGCTCAGTCTGTTAGTCACTATGCAAAATAAACTATTTCAAAAGGTTACATATTTTTTGGATGTACGTATTTGAATGTCAGGGCTACGTTTATATAGAAATTGGTTACAAGAATCTTAAAAAATAGAAAACTATAAGAGTTTACCGAAAGGCCTCTTGCAAGAGAAAGTATTTTTCCAGGATTGGAGAAGATAGCAGTCACAGGTAAAAATGTAGCAGATTGTAAGATTAGTAAGGTTTCACCAGGTGGCACCAGATCACAGCAACCCACTCTGATTCAGAGCCTGTAGCACAAATCCTTTAACAGCCGTAGTTGCCATCTGCGTTCAGAACCAGTTCACATGCACAAAAGCAATGTTGCCATAGAATCTTAGGAGTTGGGAGGGACCCCAAGGGTTGTCTAGTCCAACCCCCCCCCCCGCCATGCAGGAATCTCAGCTAAAGCATCCATGACAGATTGCCGTCCAACCTCTGTTTAAAAACCTCCAAGGAAGAAGAGTCCACCACTTTCCCAGGGAGTCTGTTCCACTGTCAAACAGCTCTTGCTGTCAGAAAGCTTTTCCTGAGGTTTAGTCGGAATCTTTCTTGCAACTTGAAGCCATTGGTTCAAGTCCTACCCTTCAGAGCAGGAGAAAACAAGGTGATAGCCCTAAGATATT